TACCTTACCCCACTAATACTGAGCCCCCCGACCATACAAACAGACCATAGTTGATGGTGCCTGCTGATGAGCCCATGGATCAGTTGACCCCATCAAAGGTGGACTGGCCATCAAGACTCTCTTAGGACTGGTACTGTGCATCGGCTGAGAAGTGTACCCCATGAATTGACATAGCTAAAAATGCCTTGGATCCTGGGTCAACCGATCTCTTCATGGATTGGGCTCAACATGTGTCATGGGTCAGCTGAAGAGCTCTAAATCCCATGCATTGTGGATCAGCCCACAGCCGTCTCATTTTTATTTGCCAAGTTTACCTCGGCTTTTCATTGCCGGTCATCATGCAGTTTACTGGGTCGGGTCCATCACCTACCAAGAAGCTGAGCACGGTGACATGGTCAGTCAGCTAGTACCCCATGAATTAAATATGCCTTGGATCCTGGGTCAACCCGTCTCTTCATGGAATGGGCTCATGTGTCATGGGTCTGCTGAAGAGCTTTGAATCCCATGCAGCGTGGATCAGCCCAACCTGGTCCCATCCAGTTGACACTATACGGCCGAGTTTTGTCTTCACTCAGGTTTTATTTGCCAAGTTGCTCAAACATTACCTCGGCTTTTCTTTGCCAGTCATGGTCCAGTATTCGGTCATGCAGTTTACTGGGTCCATGACTTCCCAAGAAGCTGAGCACGGTGACGTTCACAAGGCAGTGAGATATATTATGCACACCCCCGGTTCAAAATCCCTACCAAGTTTATACTGACCAATGTTTCTTGTAAACATACCCATGTTGGAACGGGTCTGGCTCAAACAACCGCACTCGGCTGCCTGAAATAAACGCCAAGCTGTTACTATGCCGGTCTCCATTGGACAAAGTTGCTCCAAGATCCCCCCGCTTTTCTCTGCTGGTCACAGTTTACTGGGTCGTGAAAGAAGCCGAGGCCTTACTGCTTTCATTATTATGTCCACCACAGGACTTCATATTAAATATGCCCAAAAAAAAATTGAAGATTGTCCAAAAAATATACATGTATGCTACTAACTATTAAGTAGATGGAGTTTGGACAGTTTGGACATCATTGTTTGTAACTTGCTGGCAGTCAGATTTTTGAATCCTCACCAAGTAGAAGACTTACTCTGTGTGGGGGTTTGAAGTGTGGGTTCGAGTTTCTGTAGCCGAGGTGACTTCCTATTACCCCCAATGTAAGGACCAGGCGAACTTGCCCGGGTTGGAGGAATTGGGTTTGGCGCCAACAGAAGGACTGCTGGGCTCTCAGATGCTGGAGGCAGAAAGACGGCCGGGGTTGGAGAGACTTGCGCATGATCGGTTGAAACTGGGTTTGGCAGAACGACACCCGGGGTCGGGGAGACTTGTACCTGCTGGCTTTTCTGACTGCGGTCGGGTGAGACTGAGCGATCGGTATTGATGCCAGTGTGCTTCTTCTCCTTGTTGCCGAGGAACTGGATAATGAGCGATTCCAGACTTGATTGGCGAGCACCGAGCCGCAGGTTGAGCTCCGAAATAGTAGTGACTGATTTGGTGAGGTCGTGGAGTGTTAGCTCGGCAGTTTCGATGCGGCTTGCAAGTTTCTCAAAGCCCCGGGTGAGACTCTCTTGTAACACAGCTGGTGTAGTCTCCCACTTGTTCTCCAGTGTCTTGATGGCTTCCCTCACCTCGGCTTCCAGTCTCTGGTGATCACTTCGGATGGACTGCAAATCTTCTTGCGTTTCCTTCCAACGCATGTGGGCAGACTCTTCAATACGGTCCATCTGGCAAGTCGCTCTGGTGATTTTTTCTTCCTGAAACCAAACGGAGGTCTCTAGACTTGCAATTTTCTCCGACAGAGGACGGCTAGCCAAATCTTGATCTTGAATAAACCGGGTAATCTCTTTGAGCGCCAAAAGACATTGTGACAGGGTCACGGGTGAGTCAACCGCCGGGGGGAGAAGGGCACTTGCGTCAATATCTTGTTTTCGGACCACAAATGCCGAATACTCTCGCATAGTAGGGGTAGACGACTCCATGACGCTGACTTGCGCTTGTTGGTCTCGGAGTTTCTGCAGGAGGTCGGCTTGGCCATGAGCAAGTCTTCTGATCTCCTGCTGCATCGTCTGCATGTCGAAGTTTGGTGGGGGGCTCAAGGACCTAAAGTCAATCTTCTTCTGATAGAGCGCCATGTCAACTAAGTTTTCAAGTTGAGAATCATGGGAAATGAGAAAACAACTTGAAACTTATGATGAACCTCCTTGGGATCTGGTGGGCTAACCTGCCGAGAACGAGATACCGAACGCGAACCTTCTGGCTGGGACGTGCACTCAACAGGTGGGGGTGTAAAGCTTTGTTGCATATAATTGACAGCCAAGCCCAATTCTATAAACGAAGTCAGCAAAGAATAACGAGTTTCATGAATTTTTTACCCGGCCACATTGCTAACTCGGGCACGATCCACTCCATCTCACTGGCTGGCGGCCCAATCTCCTGGCCCTTTCCTTTGTCAGTGTTGGTACCGACCTCGGTCTCAGTGCTCTTGAAAATCGCCGATGTGTGTGGTGTGGGTGGCTCAATGATTATGGTGGGAGTCACCCGGCCCACGTCTTTGTTGGCTTTTGGAATGGCACCGACCTCGGTTTCCTCATGTTTGACTTCGGCCATCTCTATGTCGATACCACCCTCGGACTTCCCCTTTCCCATTGTCAGACCAACCTCCATGTCCACGTCAATGGCATGCTCTGCATCATGCCCAACTGCGGCCATTTCGACATCCTGCTTGCCCTTCTCTTTGACATCCGGCTTCACCTTCTTCACCTGCAGCTTCTTTGACCTCACAATCTTCCTCACAATCTTCACTTGGGCATCTCCCCCGGAGACTGTGGCCGTTTCAAGATCCTGCAACCCCTTTTGGATCTCGCCTTCGACCTCACTGTCGGTGTCCTTTTTCTTGGTTACTGCATATGTGCAGGTCGTCTTACCCATACTGCAGGTGAAGCAGGATCCTTGTTGTGGGGGGGAACGGATAGCGCATGGAACAATGTCTCGATCTTGGCGTTTGCTGCAGGCCTCACAGGGTATATCCGCAAGCTGATAATTGCCTTTCACAATCGCGGCATTCTGATTTGCAAGATGTTCGGCAGTTTTGGCTTGCCTTAAAGCGGCCATGGCGGTCTTGGGAGGACCAGCGTCGGGGTCTAACTTGGGCCTTCGGATGAGACTGAGGCCGGCACTGGGTGTCATGCAGGAGAAATGGGGCTGGGACTTGGGTTTAACTGCCTTTGCTTCCCCACCAACCGGTCGAAGTGACTCCGACTTCGGCTTCAATGTTTCCTCATCACTGCTGCTGTTGATGAACTCCGCGCTCACGACTCTGGTCTTCTTTGGCCTGGCTTCGATCAAGTCCCCTTTTCTTTTTTTGCTTTGGACTGGGGCAGCGGTGTTGTTAGGAGTCACCTCTGATTGTGGCTGGGCGCTGATATGGGTGAAAAGTATTCAGCCGTATAAAATCCGATTTTCGCGATTTTACCGTTAACATGGTCTTCTCTGTACATACACTATATACAAATTGCAATGATATAAGAGTCTTTGAACATACCCGGTTCAGTAGACTAAAAGTGCACATGCGTCGAGTCTGAACATAGGACTAAGGCCTTGGAGCTGGCAGCAGTATGCGCCATGACATTATACTTGGAGCCTATCTAGGATTCACCCACTATGAAATAGAGTATAGAGAAGCTCTAGAGTAAACCACCCAATGCAGGGACAAGATTGCATTACTACCAAGGGTTTAGAAACATGTAATGGATTTTTAATATGGAAACTCGGACTTTTATCCTGCGATAAATACTTCCAAGACTTCTAGAGGATAAACTGTATGTGGACATTGTGAAATAATGTTCTACTACTAGAAAGACTATACTGCGACCATGTAGTGTATGTATGAGGACCAAGCGTGGCCTGCGGCCATGTAAAGTGTCAAGTACGGCAATTCCCGCGTACGCATCAGAGAGTGATGCGTAGCATCGTCCAAGACGCTATGAAATGCGCACCTGGAAAGACATTAGGTAATCCAATCTGGAGACCCCCTGATAACTAAGAAAGTCATTTGAAGTCCTTCGGAGTACCATCCGATCTCCATATGATACGGAAACCGAGCCGAGGCATTTTAATCAAATAACCTCCGGAAATAAAGAAGCCGGCAGCTTGCTGCATATGTATCGGCCCGGCCATTGCTAAAATGACATGATACGTCAAATTGGTAACTGATGCCAAGAGAAAAGAAGCATAAGGAACCAGTCCGGACCAAGGATAATTAAAAGCCAGACTATTAAATGTACGCATCAAATACTGATGCGTTCATAAGAGAAAGATACCAACACTACAAAAACTGTAGTGTATCAAAGAAAGACACTATAAAACTATACCACATGATTATTAAAAGCTAATAGGAGTTTTGGAGTATAAAAGGAGGGCACTGGCAGGTCAAAAAGGCAAGCAATCACCCCCCGTTGACCAGCTAGTTGCACTCCAAGTAGAGACTTAGGAGGTGGACAGTTGTAATCAATTAAAAGGAGATTTCTTCGTGGTCAGAAAAGTACAGTGTGAACGAAGCCAGCGTGCTTGGGAGTCAACTTACTTGGAGACTTTTGAATAAGAAGTTTTAAAAACACAGTATCATTTAGACGAGACAGCGTACTCGTACCCTCAGTTTTGGAGCGTAGTGACATAATAAAAACTCACAGGAGTCATAAAAGTCAATTGAAGTCGTATTTTGTGTTAATAAAAGAAACTGTGATCAAAGAACTTTGCATTTAAGAGACCAAGTTCCCAGAAAGACATACTTTGTTCTATTGAACTATTCTAAACCACACCTTATAATAAAAAACCGTTTTGAGACGAAATCTCTTGAGACTTAAACCTAAGAAGACAAAAGTGGTATTTCTTAATACCAAAGGCCCTCGAACTCGTGCACTGAGATTGTGATAGTGTGTGTGTGTGTGTGTGAGTGAGTGTTTAGGTGTTAAGGGTTTTCCCGATGCGCTTGATCCTTGTTCGCGTGTTTCGCACTTTCACGGTCATCCCTGTGCAACGCATATCAGTGCTGGACCCGGCCTCAGGTTTCCTTTGCCCAGACTTTGTCTTACTCTTGGACTTCGTTTCAGCCGCTGGCACAGGATCGGTTGATTTTGCCTGACGCGTTGGTTTTGTTGGGGCCGGGAGCGATGATGAAGCTGTTGGTACCGGCAATGGGGGAGTTGGGACTGTGACTGGGAGCAATGAATCGGTCGAAGATGGAGGTAAAGGGGGAGAGGGACCAGCATAACCTTCCATAAAGAAGGTAGGGGTGGTGGGTTGTGGGATCGAGAACATTTTGGTCCAATCAACTGATGGTCCTGCTCGGGCCATTTCCATGTACGCCAAAATCCAAGGGTGGTTGAGCCACTGGGCCACGTTATACCACATAATCTTGTCGATGAGCAAACATACAAATCGTTCCTGTAGGAGAAAGAGATCCAATTTCAGTCAACAAATCATTGTTAGTCACTCACAGCTTTCCCGTATGCATCCTCTTCCACCGTCCGTTGGTGGGCCAGAAGACCTTCCCTGTGACGGTTGTAAAAGTTCAAAAGTGTGGAGGTGGCCACCCTAACATCCTCCAAGAACCCGGGAGTGAGGGTATGGGCCTGTTGAGCAGCTTGAGCAAGTTCAGCAGTGGACATGGTAAGTGGGAATGGGACGATCGAGGGTGGTGAATGTGCGCGTCGGAATGGGACAATGGTGAATGTGAAATTACGAAGTTGTAAACGTGGTCACGTGGTGGCGTTACTTCAACCAAGATCCGTACAATGTTCAACCGAGATCCGCAGAATGTTCCATGGCCGATCTGCAGTGGCTTGCTTTCCCACCGTTGAAAAACAATGTGTCTTCATCACCAACCACACAGTGCAATCCCAGGAAAAGCTATCTACTCTCTGACTGATATGTCTTTAACAAATCCAGGTATTGTCCCTACTCCACACCAAGGATTGTCTACTTAATGTAGATAAACAGAAGCTGTGATGAAAGACCAAGAAATGAAGGATGGTAAGTTTTATGTACTCTTGTCGGCTGAGCAGTTCTAACCATATCTTAGGAACGGCCGAGGCTCTACCCCCTCTTCAACCAAGTGGTGAGTTCCAGTCGGTGACAGAAAACTAGCCAAACCTAAATTCTGGGTGGCCGATAGGACAGAGCCAAGAATCCGAACTAGTGATGGAAGTGGACGTCCCATCCTCGGCTCCTCACAGATCCATTTTCGATTTCAAAGAACCTACCCCTGCTATAAGTTCCAACCCATTCACCCCAGCCTCGGCTCACCAATCCATTTTCGAGTTTAAGAAAGTCGGTACTTCAGCTTTTGCCCCGACCTCGGCTCATCAGGCATCAATGTTCGATTTTCAGCACGTGGGCACTTCAACGAATGTGCCACCCGTTTCCCCGTCCTCGGCTCATCAGCCATTGATTTTCGATTTCCAGAAGCCTGACAACCCTGCACCAGCCTCGGCTCGTCAGGCATCAATTTTTGATTTTCAGCAAGTGGGCACTTCAACGAATGTGCTGCCTGTTCCCCCGTCCTCGGCTCGTCAGCCATCCATTTTCGATTTCCAAAAGCCTGACAACCCTGCACCAGCCTCAGCTCGTCAGGCATCGATTTTTGATATTCAGCAAGTGGGCACTTCAACGAATGTGCCGCCTGTTCCCCCGTCCTCGGCTCGTCAGCCATCCATTTTCGATTTCCAAAAGCCTAACAACCCTGCACCAGCCTCGGCTAATAAAGGATCCCCTTTCGATTTTCAAGTCCATCGTTCATTTACCCCGGCCTCGGCTGTTCAGCCTTCCATTGATTTTCAAACACCTGGCACATCTGCTCCAGCTCCTGCCTCTGACAAACCAGGCATGTCTTCCCCTGGCGCCTCAAGGTCCAATAGT